AGCAGGACGGGTTTGCTGAGGGCTCGTGCTGAACCGCCCCTCCCGCTGCACCGGGGTTCGGGCTGGAGCCCCCCCCCGCCCCCCCAAATGAAATCCAGACGGATGAAATCAGGCGGGTCTGCACGTTGGGCAGCCCGGGAGGGAAAGCTGCTGAAGCCTTCGCGACGCTGAAGGGGTGAGAGAACAGGGCGAGACGCAGCGAAGACACTAGTAGGGCGAGTGGGCTTGAATTTTTTTACGCTATCATTATTTTTAATGTATGATCTCAAAATATCCATCCTAACGCTGGTCTGGAGTCTGTAGCCCACACAGAGCCCGCTTCAGCCGCCGGGTAACTGGGGGCACAGTGTGAAGATTTGTTAGCCTGGATGGAAGTTTGTGGCCCTGGGGACTCTGGCTGGCTCCGCTGGTGGCTAGCTAGCTTCAGCAAGTGGCTAACGAGCTTCAGCAAGCGTTGATCAAGTCTCAACCAGCTAAAGCCTGAGGTGGAGCAGTGACACTGGGGGGGGGGGGGGGGGGTCCCCAGGCCGCTACCCTGGGAGCTCAGGATGTCCCCGCGGGGCAACTTTGAGTTTCCCCGGCCCGGTGTTCCAGATGAGCACCAGAAGCCTTGGCTTTGGGCTCGGCGGGTGCTACCGAGCTCCGACAGCACCGGGTGGGAGCTCAGCTCGGGCGCCGCGAGCCCTCCCCTCGCTCAGACCTTGGTGCAGATGGAGAGCCCGTCTGCGCCGGCCGCCGCCGCCGCGCCGCCGCCCCCCGCCCGGGCCTTAAACCCCGTGAACGCCGGGCAGATGGGCACGTGCTTCAGCCACCGGCTCCTCCTCACCGCCCTCATCCCGAAGGGGAAGTCGTAGCTCCTCAGGCTGGCGTGTGCCGCGCTGTCCGAGTGCGCGCCCGCCTTCCACTGCACCAGCCCTCGCTCCTCCTGCGTCCCTGCGGCCCCCAGCACCGTGTCGGCCGAGCCCCCGGGCCCCTCGCCCTGCCATCCCCCCCTCTCGCAGCTCCGAACCAAAGCGAAGCTGCCTCCGAACCCCCCGCCTGCTTCCTCCCACAGGCTCCACGCCCTTTCGTTACCCGGGATGGTGTTGTCCAGGAGGAAGGCGATGGTTCCCCCGACGAACATCTCCGTCGTGAGCAGCACCGTCAGGATCTGGTCCAGCTCGGGGACACCTGTGAGAGAGCGGGGAACTGAGCCAGAGCGTGCTGCGATGAGCTGGATTTGCCAAATGAATCGGTGCGTGGGCAAGCGCCCGCGGGATCTGCCCTCCTCTCTCTCCCTAAACGCCCCAAATCGGGGCTTTTCGTGGCGGGTGGGCACCTGTGTTAATGGCCTTGGGGTGGGAATCCAGGTAATTTGGCAGCGTCAGCCCAAAGAACATGGCGAAGCCCAGCACGAAGAGGTTGCGGGAGGAGTTCATGTCGACGAACTGCAGGTTGGAGAGGCCGACGGCCGTGATCATGCCTGCCGGCAGAGACGGTGGCGGCGGCGTTGCAGGCGGGCAGAGATGCCCCTGCTGCTGCTGCTGCCGCCAGCACCGGGCTGGGCCGCCCGCGAGGGCACCCAGGGGCGTTCACGCGCGGCCGCTGTTCCACCCCAAAAACCCCAAAGCATGCCCTGCCTCCCTTGGGCTCGCCAGCCCCCGAATCTCCGGGGAAGTGGCGCGGGGCTGAGGGTAACAGCGCTCCAGGTCTGAGGGGCGGCCGCGGCGAGGTTACCGAATAAGGTGCAGAACATCCCGCCGAGGATGGGGTCGGGCAGGGAGGCGAACAGCGCCGTGAACTTGCCGATGGTCCCCAGCACGAGCATGATCCCGGCCCCGTACTGTATCACCCTCCTGCTCCCCACCTGCACGGAGACACTGGCAGCGGGTGACAGCTCCCGGCCCCCCCGCCCCGGCCGAACCGGGACCCCCCCCCTCTCCCCAGCCCCCGGTACCTTCGTGATGCCCAGGACGCCGATGTTGGGGCTGGAGGAGGTGGAGCCGTTGCCGGTTCCCAGCAGCCCCGCGATGATGCAGGAGATGCCTTCGGTGAAAATGCCCCTGGGGAGCAACGTGAACGGGCTGCTCCCCACCGCCGCTCCCCTGCAGCATCCCTACCCGGGGATGCCACAGCGTGGGCAGGGGACTGGGGATGGGGGGGGGGGGGGGGGAAAGTTGGGGAACGGGGGAGGAGGCTGTACCTGTTAATGGCGTGCACAGGGGGAGGGGGGGCTCCTGCCAGCCGGGCGCAGGAGTAGTAGTCCCCGATGGACTCGATGATGCCCGCCAGCGTGGCGCTGAACATGCCCAGCACGGCTGCCGAGGTCACCGTGGGCAGACCCCACTGGCCTGCCCAGGGCGGGGAGGGCAGAGCGGGGTGTCGGGGGGGTGGGGTGGGGTGGGTCACCCCGGGACTTGGCCCCTTTGGTGCTCACTGGTGCCGCTTTGGGCCCCCCCCCACCCCGGGTCCAACCCAGCCCTGGCGACGCTGTGCCAGGTCCCCGCATCCCCCAAGGCGATGGGGTACGGGGGGGGGGACCCACGCGCCGTGGGGCTGCCTGGCACTCACAGGGGTAGGGGAGCCGAAACCAGGGTGCCACGGACAGGATTTCCCCCCGAGCATCCGTCCTGGCCTTGTAGCCGTACGCCTCGGGCTGGCTGGGGAAGACGTCGGTGCACGTCAGCACGTAGCAGAGCAGCCACACCACCATGATGGCCAAGATGATCTGCGGGGACAGAGTCCAGGGAGGCACCCCGGCATTGCTTGCAAGCCCAGGCGTGGGAAAAGAGGAGGGGGGAAGGATTTTTGGGATGCCCCAGAACCCGACAGCTCTCAGCCAGTCCCTACCGGGAACATCTTGAAGATCTGGACGCGGAATAAGACAAAGCCACTGCCCCACCGGTAGCCGGGCAGGCAGACGGTGACGTGCCGCAGGTACTGGGCGAACAGGATGATCAGGAAGATTGTGCTGGGGAGAGACGAGGTCCCTCGTGCCCCTGCATCCTCCTGGCTCCACGGGGGGATGCCCCTACCCCCCCTCTTTCCCCGCCCTGTCCCTGTGCCATACAGCGTGGCGATGCCCCAGTGGGAGCCGGCCCGCTCGCCGGCCGCCTGGAAGACGGAGAGCCCGATGAGGGAGATGGTGGGGGTGACGGTCAGCGGCCCGATGTAGCTGAGCAGCGCCCCGGGGAGCCCCAGTAGCCCGATGGCCACCTCCACCAGGCTGGACACCACGATGGCCCCCTGGATCTGCAGAGCAGGAAGGGGGGGTGGGGGGTGGGGGTGGGCGGGGAGAAGGCTCAGTACCAAAATCCCACCGGGGATTTTGGGGTTCCCCCCCCTCCCAGGGGGGGTGGCAGCAGGGCGTACCTCTCGCATGCGGGGCTGCCAGATGTGGGAGGTGTTGAGCGGCAGCGACCAGTTGCCGTAGATCTGCTCTGGGGATGGAGGGGGGGTGAGGTGGTCCGGGGGGGGGGGGGAGGGAGCAGCCAGACCCCCCCAGACCCCCTGCACCCCCTCTGCCCTCACCTTCAGGCGGGCATTGCCACTTCTCCAGGGCCAGGATGGCTTTGGCGGGGACGAGGAAGGCCAGCGCGCTCGCCTGGAAGAGGGGCAGCCTGGGGGGGACGAGAGGGGACACCTGCACCAGTCTGGGGATGGGCTGGGGGGGGGTCCCCGCCGATGGCTACGGCTCTACCTGATGCCCACAGTGGTCTGGATGAGGGTGGTGATGCCGACGCAGGTGAAGATGGTGCCGATGAGGTAGCTGACGGTGAGCTGGTCCTTGCCCACGCACAGGCTCTCGGCCAGCAGGAAGGGGACGGCAATGGTGCCGCTGAAGCAGGTTAGGTAGTGCTGGGGGGGGACGGGGGGGACCGGGGCTCAGCAGGGCTGGGTTGCTGTGGGGTGCCCCCCACGCCGCTGTGGGCTCTGCTGATGGGGGTGGGGGTTTCCCTCTATCCCTCTTCCAGGCGGTACCTGGAAGCCGAGCAGGATGCAGAGGTACCAGGGGGGCACGTCCTCGATCCTGTAGAGCATGTCCATCTCCGGCCGGGGGGGCCCGGTGCCCAGCCCGGCCTCCTGGGGTGCAGGGGCACAGCTCAACCCCAGCTCGCCCTGGGGGGGGGGGCGGGGGGGGGGGCTGGAGACACCCCACGCTGTCCCCAGGGGACCCCCTGCACCCTCAGGGATGGGGAGGGGTCCCGGCTGGCTGGGCTCCGTCCGATGGTGCGTTACAGAAGCACTTGGGGCGGGCGCCGTGCTGCCCGTGGGGGTGCCCCGGTACTCACCCTGCCCGCCGCAGGCAGCTCCTTCCCGGGGGGTTGCGGGGGGCCGGCGGGGGCGAGAGCCAAATTCCCGTTCTGGCAGCAAGGGTGGGGCGGGAGCCGGATCAGTGTTGTCCCGGGTGTCCCATGGGAACAGGGCTGGGCTCTGCCCCCGGGGATGCACGGGCCACTGGGCCACGGCTTGGCACGTGCGGCTGGTCAGCCCCACCCTGTGCCAGCTCTGACCCCCGAGAGGGGTCTGGGCTCCAAAACCCACTGGTCCCTTATGGTGATGTCCCCAAGGGAGGGTTTGTCCCCAGGGGAGGATGGAGGAGGGGGGGCCCCACTGCCTCGGGGGCGCTGGGAAGGATGGCACAGCCACAGCATCCCAGCATGTCCCCTTGGTCCTGGGCAGTCCCCAAGCTCACCCCATCCTTTGCCAGCCCCGGCTGGGCAGCACTGGGGTCAGTGTCACCCCCTCCTCCCTCCCCACCGCTCCGGGATACAGCCGAGGAGGGGACGGGGGTGGGAACAGGGACGGAGGCTGCGTTCACCTGGGGCTGAGCCAGGTCTCCCGAGCGGGTCCCCATCCTCCGGCGACGCGGCCCCGGCGGCGATGTCACTGCGCGGGGGATTTTATGGCCGTGGGAAGGACTTTAGTCACCGCGCGGGCCGTGGTGCGGGGTGGCAGGCTGGGAGGCGGCCATTGGCTACCGGTTGTGAAACCGGGGAGTGCTGCCCCTGGGACAGATCAGCTATTAACTCCTTTAATTAGGGCTGGCACCACCGGCGGGGCCGGGGTGTGAGCGCGGCGGTGGTAAAACATTAGAGCCGGCGGGTTACAGAGTAATTCCCGGCTGGCGGGGGGTCTGGCGGTGCGGGGCACCGGCCGCTGTTGGCATCCCCCCCCCCCCTTGCCCCTGGGCACAGCCGGGCTGGGCGTCGAGGCGCAGTCGCGACGCCGGTGACGGGCGACACCGGGAAGGCGCCCACCTCCCGGCACGTGTTGGCTCTCGCTGGGGACGAAGTCGGCTCCGAAGGTCGCCGGGGCATTAAGCATTAACCTCGCCGGGGCTACAGCTCGTTCTGCAGCGCCTTGGGGGGGGCCGGCCCCCCGGCCTTGCCGCCGGCGCAGGCCCCCTTCTCCCCGTGGCACAGCAGCTCCCGCAGCGCGGCCGGACCCCGACGGTGCGCCCCGTAGATCTGCGCCTCTCCCCGCTCGCCCACGTAGCCGTGGCACATCTTGGAGAGCCTGTGAGGAGCCGGGTGTGGGGCTGAGCTGCATCCCTCTGCCGTGGCAGTGAGGGGATGGTGCCTGCCCCCCCCCCCCCCCAGCCCCTCGCATTCCCAATTCCTCCCCCCTCGACTTACCTGCCCGGCCAGGGTCCCCCCGTCACCATCACGCTCATGGGCTCCTGCCTCGGCATCCCCGGCCCCGCCAGCCGCTTCTCCCCATCCAGCTCCTGCACCCCGTAGCTGCGGGGAGAGGCAGAGTTTGGGGAAACCCCGGTCCCCCCTGTCGCTGGGGACACTCCTGTCACCGGGGACACCCCCATCCTCGGGGACACCCCCATCCCCGGGGACACCCCCATCCTCGGGGACACCCCGCTTACCTCTCCCAGCCCTGCGAGCAGCTCCGCTCCAGCACCTCCACGTAGTCAGACTCGCTCAGCGCCTTCCTGCCCACCTTCCCCTCCGCCCTGTGCAGCTGCTCCTCAATCTGGGGTGAAAAAAGGCAGAAACCGGCCTGTGAGCATGGCGGCCTTCCCGTGACCCTGCTCTGCTGCGTGGGGAGGGGGGGGGAGCAGGAAAACGGGGTCCACACCCCCATCCTTGTGGCTCTGGCAGCTGAAGCCCTTTTGCACAGGGTGGTGGACCCAGGAGTAGCTTCAAGGAGGCTCGCTGGCCCCAAAAGGGCTTTTTTGGGGGGGGGGGGGCGATGGGGGGGGGCAACCATCAACAGGGTGCCCCAGGGGAGCAGAGAGCATCTCCCCAGGCCGGAGCACCCCCGCGAGGGCTCCCACCGCTGGTTTCGGGGTGCCGTCTCCCCGATTCCCACCTGGAAGGCGATGGCGTGGCAGGCGTCGCAGCGCAGGGATTCGGGCATGTGGGGCGAGAGCCGCTCCTCGGGGCTGAGCTGGGGCGCGGGGATGGAGCGGTCCAGGGCGGCGGGGGGGCCCCCGCACATCTCCTCGGCCCCCATCCCTGCCAGCAGGCTCAGGACCAGCCACGCCGCCAGCGCCGGCCGCATCCTGCCACGATGCCGAAAGCGCTGGGGCGGAGGCGCGGGGTGGCTATAAACCCCCCCCAACCCCCCCCCCCCCCCCGGGGCTGGTGAGCGGGTGCTGAGGCGCGTCTGACGCACCTGCATCCGGCTGAGGCGGCCCCGGCCATCCCCGGGGTGTCGGGGCGGTGAGGGGGCGGGGAGTGGGGTGCGCATGGGGTGTCCCTAACCGAGAGCCCCCTCTCCGGGAGGTTGTTGGTTTCATTCAGTCCTATAACACCTGACCCCTCCTCCTCAACCCAAATCCTCCCCGGGGGGGGACGTGGACCTACCTGGGGCTCAGCTGGGGTTTGGGGTTCAGGGCTGGAGGAGTTTGGGGTTCAGGGCTGGAGTTTGGGGTTCAGGGCTGGAGGAATTTGGGGTTCAGGACTGGGGTTTGGGGTTCAGGGCTGGAATTTGGGGTTCAGGGATGAGGTTTGGGGTTCAGGGCTGGAGGAGTTTGGGGCTCAGGGCTGGAGTTTGGGGTTCAGGGCTGGGGTTTGGGGTTCAGGGCTGGAGGAGTTTGGGGTTCAGGGCTGGAGTTTGGGGTTCAGGGCTGGAGGAATTTGGGGTTCAGGACTGGGGTTTGGGGTTCAGGGCTGGAATTTGGGGTTCAGGGCTGGAGGAGTTTGGGGTTCAGGGCTGGAGTTTGGGGTTCAGGGCTGGGGGTTGGGGTTCAGGGCTGGAGGAGTTTGGCGTTCAAGGGCTGGAGTTTGGGGCTTGCTGAATGACTGCAGAGCCCCCTCCTGCTCCCAGGGCCCGGGATTCATCCAGCGGACACTGCAGGACAGACGGACAGACTGCAGGGTCCGAGTCCCTCAGCTGCCCAAAAGGGGCTGCGGGAGCCCCTCACGCCCCCCCCCCCACCCCCCGTCCCTTTACAGACTATACAAACACAGGATGAATATGCAGGTTTCAATGCTGTCTCAACATTTTTATTACTGTTTTAGGGAGTCCGTGCCACAGCCGTGGCTGCAGGGAGGCTGGTGGTGGCCAGGCCATCGTCCCCCTGTGCCAACCAGCCCAGGTCACCCTTGGGATGGGACCAGTAGTACTGGGGGGGCTGTGACCTCAGGCCCCCATCCCCGGGGCTGCCAGGTGCTCACACTGGAAAATACCCTTTTTCTCCCCGTTCCCACGAGGAGCCGGTGAGGTCCAGCCGGTGCCCATTACCCCGCGGCGCTTCACCAGCTCAGCCACGGGCAGGGGGGGGGTCTCTCCCGTGCCAGGGGCGATGCTGACTTTGGAGTTAAAGCCCGGCTGCTCAGGGAGGGACGTGGGTCCCTGGCCGAGGGCTGTCACATCTGGAGCAGCTGTGCCTTCTCGGGCCCGGCGGGGCTGGAGCGGGCGGGGGGCTGGCCGGGGCTGGGGCCGGGGCTGGCCCGCATCCCTGTGGGGATGTAATAGAGGCTCTCCAGGTACCCGCAGTCGGGACCCCCGGCAGCGGGCGGCCCCTCGCTCTTGGGAGCAGAGCTGAAGGTCCCGGAGAAGCTGGGGTTCTCGGCAGCCGGCGGGTCGGGGTGCGCCGGGGAGGGGGCGGAGGGTGGCGGGGGTGCCGGGAGCCCCGGGAAGCTGCCATAGGGCATGTAGGGTGGGCCGTAGACCCCCGGGGCCATGAGCAGGGGGTTGAAAGGAGCCTGGTAGAGCCCAGCATGCGATGCCACCGGTGGGATGAGCACCTCCAGGTACTGCCCGGTCTCGGGGTCGTAGAGCGTTTTGAGCTGGGGCTGCCGCGGGGGCTCCACGTAGTAGCATTTCCCGCTGTCGGGATCGACGAGCATCCGCCGGTGTGCGGGCAGGTGGGGGGCGAAGGGTTTGGTGGGGCTCGGTGTGCTCTTACTGCTCGGTGAGGGGCCGTCGGTCCTCCTCGGGAAACGGGGGGCGTCTTCCAGGTGAGGCTGGGGCTGGGCTGGGGGCTCCGCAGCGGCTGCGCCCTCGGGGGGGCCGGGGCAGCGGGGCCTCGGGGCTGGGTTTGCCCCAGGGCACTTCCCCACCGGGCGGGGGGCACACACCGGTCCCCAGTGGAGCGCTGGCTGGATTGGGGACCAAAGGGGATCCAAAGGACGAGCCGGCCGCGTTGGAGACCGATGGGTGCCCAAGGGGAGCAGGGACTGGGTTGGTGACCAAGGGGGACCCAAAGGATGAGCTGGCTGGGTTGGGGACCAAGGGGATCCCAAGTGATGAATTGGCCAGATTAGGGACTGAGGGCGTCCCGAAGGATGCGCTGGATGGATTGGGGACCAAGGGGGTCCCAAAGGATGTGCTGGATGGATTGGGGACCAAGGGGGTCCCAAAGGATGCACTGGATGGATTGGGGACCAAAGGGGTCCCAAAGGATGCGCTGGATGGATTGGGGACCAAGGGGGTCCCAAAGGATGCACTGAGTGGATTAGGGACCAAAGGGGTCCCAAAGGATGCACCGCACAGGTTGGGGACCAGGGGGGTCCCAAAGGATGCACTGGCTGGATAGGGGATCAAGGGGGTCCCAAAAGACTTGTTGGTGAGGTTGGAGACCGAGGGAGTCCCAAATGATGTGCTGGCCAGGCCAGAGGCTGGCGGGTAGCCGAAGGATGAGTTGGTTATGTTGGGGACTGTGGGGGTCCCAAAGGATGCGCTGGCTGGTTGGGGGACCGAGAGGGTCCCAGAGGATGTGCTGACCGGGTTGGGGACTGCAGAGGTCCCAAAGGACGTGCTGGCTGGGTTGGGGACCGAGGGCAGCTTTGGCATCGGAGAGGATTTGGGGGGTCTCACAGGAATTGCTAAGTAGTTGGAGTTCTCCGCCGGGGCAGCAGGAAGGTACGGCTCGGTGGCTGCCGGCCGCTTCGGTGAACGCTCCCAGGCCTCGCTCCGCTCCGGCAGCTGGCCCGAGGGACCTTCATCACCCTCCCCGCCTCGAAACGGGGCGGCAGGGCCGGGGCTGCCAGCGGAGCCGCTGCTCCCCGCCGACACCAGCCGGCTGCCCGGCTGCTCCCGCCTCTGCTCGCTTGCAGCTGGCTCTGGCGCGCTTCTTGGTGCTGGTTCCACAGGGGGTCCGGCTCGGGGGTCCCCGCCGCTGCCGTGCCGCTGCTCCGTTGATGTGGGCCCCTCGGCAGCGTGGAGCCCTCCGGTGCTGCCCTGGCCACATCCCTCCTTTCCCTCCGTGGCACTGGGCGGTGGGAGGAGAACAGTCTTCTCCACCCGCAGCGCTGCGCTGCTCCGAGCCGGGGGGCCCTCGCTGGCCGCCGCTGGGGACCGCTGGCCCACCAGGACGTGGAGGTGGGTCTCCACGTGGGGAACCCCCTCGGCCGCCGGCACCCGCGGCGGCACCCTGAGCTCGCTCCGCTCCCGGCGCGGGGAGGACGCCGGTGGCCCCTCCGGGACGGCCGCCGCCCTCCTCGTGGCCTGCACCCTGGTGATGTGGACGGGGGAGCACTGGGTGGGCGAGGGCCGGGCGTCGGTGAGCTCCGTGGGGCCGCCGGCACACGCCGGGGCTGGCTCTTGGCTGGATGCTGCCGGCCCTTCCTCGCGCCCCGGCTCCGTCGCCGGCTCCTGGCGGCACACCGAGGTGCAGTGGATGACAAGCGGGGGGGCCAGCGGGGGGTCCCCACCACTCGCCACCGCCCCGGTGCCACGGGACGAGCCGGCGGTCCCGAAGCGGAGGTTGTAGCTGCTCTTCACCAGCTTGCGCACGTCCCGGGGCTGCGGGATGCGCCCCTTCCCCTTCTCTCCTGGCTTGGGGAGGGCGGCCGGCGGGGACCCCCGGGCCGGGGGGCCGGGGCTGGGCGGCTGGCGGGGAACCGCTGGTGGTTTCTCTTCCTGCCGGCTCCGCGGCACCAGCCTCACCTCCTGCGCCCAGGAGGTGACAAGGCGGCGCGGCGGCGCGGCGGGGAGCGCCGGGCTGTCGGCCTCGAAGGGGAGGGTTTGGGGGTGGCTGGGGCAGATGGCTCGCTGCTTCAGGCTGGGCCACGGCTTCGGTGCTCTCTCAAATTTGCGGGCGACGTCCAGCACCTTCCCCACACCAGGGTGGGCTTCGAACAAGGCACGCGCTTGCCAATAGCGGATCCTCTCCGACGCCGGCTCCTTGGTGGCGCCGGGCAGCCGGTGGCCCTCCAGCTCCTCCTGATACTTCATCCTCTCGTTGAGTTCGTTGAAGGTCTTCTTCAGCTTGCAGACACTCTCCCTCGTCGCCTCGCTCAGCACCACCCCCTTGGCGGGATGGGTGGTGGTGGCATCCCCCACGGCCGCCGTGGCCACCGCAGCCCCCCGCATCCCGCCGCCCCGCAGGTCCTCGGCCGAGAAGCTGCAGTCCGAGCGGGAGAGCGAGCTGGACTTGCCCTCCAGGCCATCCCCCAGCAGGTCGGTGCCAGCGGAGGACGGCCCCGAGGAGGTCGAGCTGCCCCACAGCCCCTTCTGCTCCATCTTGATCCTCTGCTCGTACTGCATTTTCTTGGCGAGGACGTTTTTCACGAGGCAAGAAGCTGCTCTGGTCTCGCTGGCGGCGGCGTCCAGGGAGGCTGTCTTCATGAACTGCTTGTAGTTGAGCCTGAAGTCCTCTCCGATGGCTCTGCCCTTGCTGAGGGGCTCCTTCCTGGTGGGGGGCAGCGGCTGGGGGGCTGAGCCATCCCCCCATGGGCCGAAACCCGTCTCCTTCCTCTCCTTCCTCTTCAGCAGGATCTGGCGCTTGGGGACAGTCCTCTTCTTGCCGTGGCCCTTCCTGGCCTCCCCGCTCTCCAGCTCCACGTCCACGCACTCGAACTGCTCCTTCCCCAGCAAGCCCGGCAGCTCCCCGTCCACGCCGGCGGGCAAGGGCCAGCCCACCCTGCTGTGGAGGGCTGCGACCGTGCCCCGGGGCTCGCTGCTGGCCACCGGCCACCGCCGCGGCCGCCCGCCGTCCTCCGACAGCGAGTTGGAGAGGCTGGAGGAGGTGTGGGAGCTGCACATGTCCAGTCGAGCGGCGGGGAGACCCGAGAGGCTACGGAAAGCCCTGGCCGTCAGCGCCCGCACCTCGCCGTCCGCCTCGTCCGAATCGCTGGGCGCCCCGCCGAGCATCCCCCCCGGTTGCCGGGGCAGAGCCGGCTCCCCGCCGGCGGCGGTGGCGGCGGTGGCGGCGGTGGCGGCGGTGGCAGGCTGCCGGTCCCCGCCGAGGAGCCCCATCCTGCCCCCCTGCCCCGGCACCGGGATATTCTTAGCCGCGGTGGACAGCTGAGCCTGCGGCGGGCGGGCGAGGGGGCCGGGCGGCGGGGGGACGCCGGGGGCCCCCGCCGCAGCCCAGTGCCCCGAGGCAGCCCCCTCGGCACGGCCGCCCCGCCGCCCCGCGTCCCGGGGGGGGGTCCCTTCCTCGTCCAGAAACTCCAGGCAGTCCTTGAAGGTCTCCGTCCCCTCTGAGCACAGGGCAGAGTGGTACGAGGAGACGGAGGAGCCCGACATGCTCTTGGTGAGGTCGTCGCGGGGGAGGCCGGGGAGGTGACCCTCCTCCTCCGACGGGGACCTCCGGCCTTCGCCGCCGCTGCGGGGACCCTCGCCGTCGGTGCCAGGCGGCTCGGCGTGGGAGAGCAGGATGGGGTCCCTCTTCCCGCGGGGCATCACGGCCGGGATGACCCCGGGGGATGGCGGGGAGGTTGAGGGGGGCGGGGGGGTGCCCAGCCGGTGCTGGGGGACCCTCCTCGGTGCTGGGGACGCTCCGCCGGGGACGCCGGCTCGACCTTCTGGCTTCCTCGCCGTGGCGGCGGCTGGACCCGGCGGTGGGACGGAGCAGCCCCTCGATCACATGGATGTCCAGCGAGCGCCAGCCCGGGGGAGGCGATGCCAAACGCATTGCAGGGATGCCACCGGCGCCCCCGGCCTTAGGGGGCTGCCGGGGGGGCTGCCAGCACCATCCCCTGCCCCCTCACCCCACGCTGCTGCTCCCCCAAACCTCCCCACGCCCCACAGAGGTACGTGGGCCGTGCCCCCCCGGCACAGCGGGCTGGGCTGCCCCGGAGCTGGGGGACCCCCAGACCCCTTCTGGGACACCCCATCCCCAGAGCCAGGCCCCGGGCTGATGCTCCGTCCCCGCCCCAGCTCCCTTCCCAGCCCCTCTGCCTGCGCATCCCCAATCCTGGGGGCTTCCCCCCAAAACCACCCCGCCCCAAGCAGCAGCTCCCCCCACAACAAATCACAAGCGGCCGGGAGCAAACTCAAGGCTTGAAATCAAACCGGGCACCGAGCACCTCCAGGACTCACAAGAGCCAAACGATGGACAGCTACTATTTGCCTTTTTCGGGGAGACCCAAAGCACCCGGCATGGCACGAGGGTCTCTGCAGCTTGCCGGCCCTGACCGCTGCCGGCGGAGCTCAGCCCCGGCTTTCGGGGGGGATTTTTGCAGTGAAGCTTCGGTAGCAGGTGCTCCCCGGGGCTGCCAGCCCCGGAGCAACCTGATGCCCAAGTCGTTTGGGTTCACGCAGGGACTAAATTTAAACCTTGGCAAGGAAAAGGAGGAGATGGAAGCTTCCCTGATAGCCGGCCTGGCGCTTAACCCTTTGCTGCGGAGCAGGGCTGTGCTTGCAGGTGGCATTTGTGCCCGTGGGGAGCCGAGGAGATCTGCCACGGGCAGCACTTGCCGGCGTGGTGGCTTTCTGCAGGAGTGTGCGTGGGCTTTCAACCCCCCCCAAATCCCTACAGCCTGGCTTTGCAGGGAGCCGGTGGGATGCAGTTGCCAGCGGAGGAGCTCCCCGTGCTGCCTGGATGGCACACGCTGCACCCCACAACCTTGAGCTGCTGGCTTGGGTGCTGCGACCACCTGCTGGTCCCCATGCGAGGGGGGGTCCAGCTCTCAGCCCGGGGCTGGCGGGGAGCCCCCCGGCCCCAGCTCCCCGCAGCCTGGGCTCGTGGCACGGCAGCCCGGCGGGCGCCTGCTGAGTCACTGCTGGCTCCAGTCCCAGCACTGGGGACGTGCACACAGCCCCTGCTTGCTGCTGGATTTGCAGTGCTTGGGGGGGGGGGATGTACAGACCCACAATGGGGAGGGGGATGCAGTTCCCCTCGGGCCGAGCTGACCCCTCGGTCCCCAGCCCAGATCCCAAAGATGCTGTTTCATTCCCTTCTCCTCTGCCGAGGGTCGTGCCCAGCATCCCGGGGCTACTGGCAGTTGGTGGGAAAGGCAGGTTGGCCCAGCCTGGGGTCACTGGTGCCTTGCTGATGCCTTTGGTGCACCCGGGGTACCACTGCTGGGGGCAGAGAAGGCACAAAGGGGACACGGGCTGCGGGAGCTGGTGAAGCTCTGGATAAAATAATCAGCCCAGTGGAAGGATCACTGCAGCTCTCCCTGGGCACTAAAAGGGAAAGGTCCTTGTGGCACTGCCTACAGGTGCTGCGGCCCTGGCAGTGGGTGCAAGGCAGATTTAGGGCAAGAACTCCTATCGCTGCTTCAAACCTTTCCTCTCCCTCTCCTCCAGCGCTCACGCTGGGCTCAATTCTTGCTGCTGCTGCCTCTTTCGGGTCCTGCCAAAACCAAAACGGTCCGAGTGTGTCAACAGCTGCGCCAAGGGGGGGGGGGGGGGCGGTGATACTGGCGGCTGCGAGGGTGGCTGGAAAGTACCGGCAGCCCTACACCCGCTTCGCCGGCCCCTGCACCCAGCGCCGCGGCGGGAGGGATGGCCCCGTACACTCCCCCCTCGACAGAAAACCAGGGCCGGGTTGCAGCAAGGGCCGCCGGCTCGGCTGGTTTGTTCCAAAATCCCTGAGGCCGCCCCGGACGGCCTGTCTGGGTGCTGCCCAAGCACAGAGGCGAGTCCCGGGGCTGCAGCGACGCGCCGGGCAAGAGCTGCTCCAGCATCTCCTCCGCCTGCTCCAGGGGTGCAGCCCCCCCATCCTGCTCCAGCGGTGCAGCCCCCCATCCCGCTCCAGGGGTGCATCCCCCCCCTCCTGCTCCAGGGGTGCATCCCCCCCTCCTGTTCCTGGGGTGCAGCCCCCCATCCTGCTCCAGGGGTGCACCCCCCCCTCCTGTTCCTGGGGTGCAGCCCCCCATCCCGCTCCAGAGGTGCACCCCCCCATCCTGCTCCAGGGGTGCATCCCCCCCTCCTGCTCCAGGGGTGCACCCCCCCCTCCTGTTCCTGGGGTGCATCCCCCCCATCCCGCTCCAGGGGTGCACCCCCCCTCCCGCTCCAGGGGTGCAGCCCCCCATCCCGCTCCAGGGGTGCACCCCCCCCTCCTGTTCCTGGGGTGCAGCCCCCCTTCCCGCTCCAGGGGTGCAGCCCCCCCTCCTGTTCCTGGGGTGCAGCCCCCCCATCCCACTCCAGGGGTGCAGCCCCCCTCCCGCTCCAGGGGTGCAGCCCCCCCATCCCACTCCAGGGGTGCAGCCCCCCCCTCCCGCTCCAGGGGTGCAGCCCCCACTCCTCGGTGTGGCTCCCGAGTTCTCAACAGGAAGGAGCCAGGAGGGCACGGCGGAGATCCCCGGGGCCCTCCTACCGACTGCGGGACCACCATTTTAGGTTAGGAGGCTGCAAACTTGTCTTCCAGCATCCAACGCAATTCGGGAGGGGCGGGAGCAGCCTGCTGGGTTACAGAGAAACGGGTGGACCCAGGCTTGCTCATGAAATACTGATTTATGTTCAAGCCTGATGCCTCACCCTTGTATTTGCTTATTAACTTGTTTTTTTTTCTCTTTTTTTTGTTTTGTTTGTTTGGTTTTTTGTTATTTTTTTTGGTGTTGTTTTTTTTTTTCTTTTTTTTTTTTTTCCCTGCCCGCTGTGTGCGTGCTCACCCCTCGGCGCTGGCAGCCTCGGGAGGCCGGGGGGAGGAAGATGGAGGTTGCCAGCAGCCGCCAAGAGCAGGACGCGCCACTCCCACGCAGGAGCCGCTTTTTCGCAACTCCAGAGGAGCGGGAAACACCGGCCCGGCTCGGCGGCGGCTTTCCGGGCTTCGGAAGGGGCAGCGGGCGGACCGAAACACGCCAGCGGCTCTGAGCGAGCCCAACCGCGAAGGGCCGGGCTGCCCCAAGCCTGCGAAGTGACGCACCCCCGACCCTGTGCAAGGGATCTCCGGCCGCCCCCCCCCCCCGGCACCCACCGGGGAGCTCCGGCCGGCCGAGACGGCGGCTCCAACCGGCCCGGGCTCGGCACACGGCGGAGCTCGGGTGGGTGTGGGTGTGGGGGGGGGATCCTGGCGGCCACCGGCGCCTTGTCGCGGGGCCCGGGACGGCGCCCCGAAACCCCGCGGGGGCGTGGCCGGCTCAGGCCCCGCCCACCGCAGGGCGGGGAAGGCGTGGTTCGCTGGCTCCTCCCACCGCGAGGCCCCGCCCCCGCCAGAGGAGCGGGCCCCGCGAGGGTCCCCCCGCCCCCCTCCCCAAACCGAGGAGGGGAGGTCGCTTCCCCCCGGCCGCGGCCCGAGGGCTCAGCGCCCGCCGCCATCTCCCGCACCCCCGCGGAAAATGGCGGCCGCCGCCGCCGGGCCTTCCCTGTCTCCTAGCAACGACTCTCTTCCCCCCCCCCCCCCCCCCCCCCCCCGGTTTTAAAGGGGCCGCGTCCGGGGCCCCGCCGCGCGTGGGGAGCGCTCTGCCCACGGGGGGCACCCGCGGGTGTCCCGGGCTGCGGCGGGGGGGGCGGCGGGCAGAGCGCGGCCCGGGCCCGCGGGGGCCGCTGCGCCGCGGAACGAACGCCCGGGCGGCACAACCGCCTCCTTACAGAGTCGGGCGCTTCCCACGGCCCAGAAACGGCGAATTTTTCATTAAAAAAAAAAAAAAAAATGTGTGTGTGTATATATACATATATATATATATATATATATATATATATATATATATATATGTAAACCCATTTGCAAGTCCCTGGCGTGGCCCAAGAGCAGTCCCCAGGGACGGCGGCACGGCCTGCTCACACAACGGCTTTTTCTCCCTTTAGAGACCCGAGAAATAATTAGAAATCAAGCTCATTTTGGCAAGTAACCTTTGGTTAATGACAGCAATGCACTGCAACAGCCACAGGCACGAGATACAAAATTTTCCTTGTGTATTTTTTTTTTTTTTAACTCCCCTTATGCAGTAGGATGCCAGCGCTTCACAAAAAGTATTTACCCCTGAAGACATTTTAGCGCCAAATGCCCTTATTCACAGTGCCCAGCCCCAGCACACAGTCATCCGTAACACCCCCGTCTGCGGTGACGAACAAAGAACAGCTTATTGCTTTTTGAAATAATTTTACCTGCCAGCCTCACCTTCTGCTTCATCCTGGCCTCTTAGCTCCAGAGAAGACTCTTAAAATTCTTGTGCTCCTTACACGAGGTCTCCCGCCTCCGTAAAGTTGTTTGAGATCTTTGGATGAAAGGTACAATCTATTTTCAGTGCAAAATACTACGTGAGAATTCAAGCGCCGTACAGGACGTCACAGGTCCAGTAAAGTCGCTGTGTTTGGCCTCCTCACCTGTATCGCTTTATAGCCATGGGAATCAAACAGGAATGACAGGGAAGATACCAAACCTGGAAGAAAGTCCAACCACTTCAATATATTTCAAATATATTCTTCAAACTATTTAATATATAAAAAGCAACATTAAAATAATTTTGCTTTTTGTACACACTCATATTATGTGCTCAAAACTGGGAAATACCAGAACGAAGGTTGCCTGTCCTGCTTCCAGCCACATTACCAATCTAGAATAATCACTTTTGCCCTTATACTCTCACACTAAACATGATTCACAACCACCCCCTCTAAATGCCTTTTTTACCGGCGCTCTTCCCATCCCAAGTGGCTGACAAACTCTGCTCAACTTCCCTAAGTGCTCCTACAAAGTTTCCCAATGAGGAACAAATGTTAACATAAAAATACCACCGTAAGGAGTCACCGTGTTGGTTTTTTTTTTTTTAATTCTTTTTTTAACACACCACCATTTC